TTCACAGAACTAAACCTAAGGTCTTATAGTGGAAGTGCTGGGGATAATTACAATTAAGGTATACTGCAACCTGCAATTTAAATTTCAAACCAGTGATTTCATGCACAAGGGAGGCTAAGGGCACAGCTTCAAAAAAAAAAATTGATGCCAACAGCAGTGGCAACTGCAGAGAGACCACAGAACTGACACACTCTGCTACTTGCCACACAGGAACTGAACCAGACAGCACACCTGATGAAAGCCACCATCAGTGCTGGCACCCAGTGGGTGTAAAGGGACGCCAGAGGGCAAGTGGTCTGGTAAACTTTTGCAGAAGCAGCACAGGTTAAGTCACCTTCTGCAATCATAAACAATCCATCCATCCATCCATCATAAACCAAAAGCCATCACACCTTTTTGTAATTCCACTGGTTGCTTCTGTCAGAAGCAACTCATGTCAGAATCCATTTCACTGCTTGAAGTCTTGCTTTTCCTTATTTTCCCTCCTATTCACATAGTACCCAAAGTGGCCAGCAAAAGTTAGAATCATAGTCTACGTATTTTATTTGTTCAGTTTCCTTACTTTTGGAAGCCTTCCACATGAAAGCCAGGAAAATAAGTTTAAGAGACAGGGAATACTGACCAAGGATTTGAGAAGCATCTGGAAATACTTGCTTTTAAGAAGACTACCTTACAACTACTATTTTTATTCCAGCAGTACAAACCTGGGCAGTTTTCAATCCAATGCAAGCCTTGGTAGCAACACATAAAGCTCTGGTTTAGACAAGTGATCTGCACTACTTTGACAGAGCTAAATAAATACAGAAGCTAAAAAACAGTAAAAAAGAGACATTAAATAATACCTTGGATCTCCTGTCTCATTAACCTATGAGAAACCTGTCAGACAGAAGGGTTCCCCCTCTGAAAGCATCTATTTTAGAAGTAGTACATAGCACAAACACTGGCTTCCTACAGCTTTAGTCATCTCATTTCCAGACAAGCTTGCTGCTCAAATGGGAGGACAAAGAGCAGAAATCACAGTGTCACTTCGTGCTGCTGTGGTTCTCTGGAGCTCTGTACTCTGCTCCCTCGTGCTCAGGTGCCAGTCCCAGCTGCTGCAGTTTGAGGGTCTGCAAATGGAGCTACTGTGAAAAGGCACACTCAGACTGTAAAGTCCTACTCAAACCAGAGAGTGAGGTGACAAGGTCTGCAAAAATTGCAAGTCCTTTATTTTAATTAAACACACACAGATCAATAGTCACTGTTCTAGATATGCATAGTCTTGAGTTAATTAAACCAATTAGTTCTTTTCTTTCCACAGCAATCAATGAAAACCATTTTCATTAATTAGCTCAACGGCATCCTGGCTCTGAACAGTTTAGTATAAGCTGAAGCACTGAACAAGCAGGCAATATACGGTGGAGAGGAAAACCCACGTCTTTAATCTGTGGAGAGCAATTACTTAATTTCAAGTTCTGTTTGCTTTCCAAACAAGGCTATGCTGAAAATAACTATGGGCCATAATATCTTTTTTGTTTTCAAAAGAACACTTGGCACAAGAGTTTATCAAGGCCAAGTACTTACTCCCTTTCACCACAGTGGAGATAAGAAAGACAGAGAAACTTCCAGCAAGTGAATTGCACTTTTCATTAAGAACATAACTTTTTGAGAACATGCATCTTCAACTTTTGTAACTAGAATATAAAAATCATGTAGTACACACCAATGATTGAAGAAGCTGCAAATTACAACACAGAATTCCCAGTCCTGCTCTCCATCCATGCTAGCACTCATGAAGATTAGTTGTTCATACAGCTACAGGAATGAGACTGGCAATCATTGTAGTGCAGTTAATCACTTTTCTTTGCAGATGCAAGAAAATTAGGCAAATAAAAATTTAAAAAGAAAAATAAATTAACTTGTTCTGTATATATTTGCTGTTCAGTGACAGACCAGGTATGGAAAAACCTCATATTGTAACTCGGTCTCCTTTTCTGTGTCAAATACCATGACAGCTTCAGTCCTTTGCATTGTTTGCTCATTCAAGTATTCATAATTCTTTCAGTATGACACAAAGAGACACATCAGTTCCACTAAAATTTCAAATACTCTTTTGCACCACCTTAAATCAATGAAATTGCTTGTATACAGAAAGAATTAAAGTCACCAACTGGTATGTGGGAGTCACTTCATTTTTCTAATGTGTTTTAAAATAGCTGATGAAGGACAGGCTTTTTATAAAGCTTGGCAGGTGTGTAAAAAATGTTTAACCCTTAGGATCCGATTTTTTATTAGCCTCTTCTTTTGGACCTCTGACACTGCCCACCTGTCTCTGGTCACCCTGATCACATTTCACCCCAGAAGCAACAGGAGGCAGCAGGACATACTTGCTTTATTCCTGCCCAAAGACTTCAAAGGAAGGTCTTATGCCTCATTCCTACAGAGCAAAATCTCCCTGCCAGCCCCTGAGCACCTTTCTGAAATTGCCAATGGCAAATGAAAATCCAGAACAGTGACCAGAGTGGTCAGACTCACTTTACCTCTCACTCCTCCGCTCTCCTGGGCAGGTTTGTCCTGTAAGCCAGCAAAAGCCACTGTGGTGATGAACAGCACTGCTGAAAAAGCACAGATTAAACACCCACTGGTTCCCAGTCACTCTTCTCCAAAAAACACTCATTTGGGCCTCACCTGCATAGGCAAAAGCCACCCAGGATAGTCCAGTGCACCTCAGAATGAAACAACAAGCTTGGGGCATTGCTGGCTGCTCAGAAAAGGCCAGAAGCCTGGGGTGGAACTTGGTACACAAGGATTGTGTTTGGCTGCCTCAGGAAGATGCAATTCCTGCTTGTAACAGAGCAGGCTTAAGGCTCCTGTGAGTCATCCCTAAGCAATATTGTCCTTCCTTTCAGCAGGTGCTGCAGGTGCCAGCCAGGGCTGTGCCTCAGGGGAGCAGCTGCTCTCTGAGCAGTTTCAGCACAGGAAAGGGGAAGGAGTGTGGTGAGGAAGAAAAGCACTTTGCAGCACACAGCTGAGCACTATAAACCCCACCAGACAGTGGGCTGTTAATGCATGCACAAGGACATTCCTCCCCAAATCCCCAAACTGCTTAAACAATCTTCACTTTGTCAATAAGGAACAGGATTGTTCTTCGAAAGCCTAGGATGAGTGTGCTACAGTAGGGTTTTTATGCTTTGCTAATGACTTAATGAATGAGCCAACTAGATTCACTACATCCAATTTGGGTTTCAAATATTCAGTATATTCCTGGCAACAACTCTGCTGCGTACCAAAGGACCTCCTACTCCAGCAGGTATTTGTTCCAGCTGTAATTTAAAAAAGTAGTTCATTAAAATGCTGTCATGGTATGATAACAATGTTTTTAATAACCTGTAAATCATTTAAATGCCTACATTCTTTTGAAATTCAGGAAGATTTAACAACTGCCCATACTACACAGCATTGGCCCAAACACCAACAGAAGAGGTATTTTATACTCCAAATCAATTCTCCAGTCAGCCTTTAAAGCTTACTGCTAATATTAGCTTTGGGACTGCATGAGATTTTAGAGCTGAACACGAGAGGCACTTTTCAGAGGCACACTGGAAAACAGTTTGGTTCCTTCCAACAGGCACCAAAGCAAAATTCTCCATACTCTACGTCAGTGAACTATCAACTACAGCAAAGCTTTTACAGCAGCTTTAAGATTTGGGAGACCAAGGGAAAAGGATGACCACTCTTCTGTATCATCCAGTTTCTTTGAGAAAGAGTTGACAAGTTCAGTGGTCTGAGCCTAGATAAAAAGGGTAGAGTGAGCACCAACTCCTTGCCAGCCATGAGTAACTGGGGCCCAGGGATATTCACATGAGCAGGGAGAGCAGATGTGGCAAACTGGCTTTATAAACCATTTGGAAACAAATTGTGACCTCAATCAGCAAGTTTGATTTAAACAACTCCAATCTTGCACTACCAGGATTATCTATTCAATGTTTAGAATAACTGTGTTTCAAAACAAACTTAAAATTTATTTTATGTTTCAATCTTTATTCCTGTGTGGAAGATATTTATGTCAAAAATAAAACATTTACAAAATTATCTTCCACTTCATGAAGTCTTTGTGATCAAGCAAAAGGGAAGTGTGAAGAATAGGAGATTAAATCCACTGCATTAAAGTGGATTGAAAGCCCATCAGCACAGTAAAGAGCAGCTTATATGTCACTTATATTTGCTCCAGGCACTCACAGCAGAATTATAACTTCAGTTCAATATAAGTAACACTGTTTTTATAAACTTGAATTTCTTGCATCCAAAACATTAACCAGATTTCAAAGTTAACCTGGAATTCAGGCTGCACAGGTAGACAGCAAATTAAAACGGTTTCTCATCAAGTCATCAAGCTTAAATACAGATGACCTAATGCAACTGGTGATGTTCACAACCACAGGTGTTGATAAGTCTGACTAATGAACACCACAGTAACAAGGATCACTGTATCAAGTGCTGAGGAAAAACTGCTGCTCAAACTTAGCTTAGGTGTCATTAACTATTACTGCACGCCAGAGTCTGACAAAATACATATTTAGAGTGCATTGGCTTTTTCTATCCAGCCATGAGGCACTGAAATCTTAGAGAGGAGCCTCAGCTTGTTAGACTGTACTATAAACATACTTCCAGCAGTCTGGATACTGTACCAAAATAAACAGAGGCATTAAAAGCAGTTCTCCAATATTTTTAAAGGGGCCCAGGAAGGACAGTCAATTTGGTTTACACATACAATGTGTTACTGTTTGGCATTATTTCTAAATTAGGGGGAAAAAAAGCTGCTAGACCTGATCAAATACTGGAAGATGGGCACAAGCTGCCTCCGTTCTGGCAGGGCAAAATGCATTGCTGTCACGCTACCAAGTTTAATGCATAGCAGTGTCATCTCTTGACAGGTGTAGTACGAGCAAAGGCAATTATGATGGAGTGCTTCAGGACAGGAAAAGAGAAAACTGAACTGGGCTGAAGCTTTAGTACTTCTGCTCTGGAAACTTCATTTCTCACAGAGCTTCTGACCTAGTCACTTTTCCTGACATTGACAGAAGATGATTATTTCTTCCTGGCTCTTCCTATGTAGTCTCCAATAATTGGGTACAGCTGCCAAAGTTACCCAAACATATGCCTGTAAAACTGTGGTAAATGTCTCACGTTTTGTCCTTGTACTACATGGATGTTAGTGCGGGCAGTTTCCACATCTTTACACCTTTTCTAGTCTCCAGAGAAGAGGCAGCTATTTTCTGGAAAGGTTCTTCTAAGAATCTCAGCGTTATTACCAAACCCCAGCATTTAAGAGGGGTGTTAAAATTAACCCCACCAAGTTTTCTCTGGGATTAGCAGGAGGGACAAGGCTTTTCAGCAGCCAGTCAAAGCAGCAGCAGCAAAGCAGTTGGCTTGTGAGGCTACACAGAATTACCTGTTGCCAGCCCCTGGTGTGGGCACATTTTCAGCCACAGTCTCCCAGCAGTGAATTCTCTTCACCAGCAGCTTGTAAAGCACAAGAACTGATGGACTTTGTGCCCTGTGCTTGGCCTCCAACAACCCCCAGACCATGACAGAGAAGCTACAGTGCCATGCCAATAGAGGATCCTCGAGTCACAGCTGAAGAAGCCACATTAACATGACTCACAGAATCACAATGGAAATTCTGAGGAATTTCATAAATCAGAGTGAGCCATTGCTGCACTCTGACATTCAGCAATTTTCCTGAAGAGAGATTTAGTGCTACTAAAAAACAAGTAATTCATAGGTAGAAAAAAATAGGCAAATCCATTTTCCTCCCAACTTGTTTGACTGACCTTGTGGTACAGGTAGGGATGATAAAGGTCAAAACTGCATTTTTTGGTAACAATCACCTTCTCCTGTATGTAAAGATTCATATAAATGTAGAACTGCTGGAACATCTATGTAGAAATGTTTACTCTGGGGTTTGGGTGCCTATGCCCAGATGCTGAGGGCTGCCAGGGCTCTGTGAGGGGAGCCCTCAGCCAGGCCGCGTCATATTGAGAAAGGGCAAAACCTGCAGGGAGTGAGGGGAAAAGTGTGAGGAATGTCCCCGGAGTGAGGGGAAAAGTGTGAGGAATGTCCCTGGGAGCGGCTGTGCTGGATTCCCTGGCAGCCAGCACAGAGCAAATCCACACTGCTGCCTGTGGCAGTCTGTGCTGAAGCAGGGGGTGTTTCCTGAGGGAACACCGCAGCCCGTGGAGCGCCCACACCGGAGCAACAGAGAGGGGCTGAAATGGACTGAGCACAGCCCACATTCCCCCTCCCTTCGGCCCTGCTCAGGGGGCAGGAAGAGGTGGAGCAGTTTGGAACAGAGAAATGGAGCTAAGCTTGCAAAAAACAGAGTATGAGGGGAAGGTGTGTAGGTTTTATCTTTGCTTTTCATAGTCCAAATCTATTTTAATTGGCAATAAATTTGCCCTGAGTTGAGTTTGTTTGGTCTCTGATGGCAACTGGTAAGTGACGTCCCTGTCTTTATCTCAGCCCACGAGGTTTTTCATCCCGTTTTCTCCCATCCTGTGAGGGGAAGAGTGCCAGAGTGGCTGGGTGGGCATCCGGCCAGCTGAGGTCATTCCCGAAGGGCAGGGCAGAGGGAGAGCTCTGAATGGGAACTGGCCCAGGCTGCTTCACGCTGGGCCGCGAGCAGCATGAAGCCCTTACACAGCACTAACTCTGCTTTGTAGCTATGGCTCCAGCACCTGGAACAGCCTCCCTGCACAGAATATTCCCAGCATCTGTAGCTATGAACCAGCCATTCTATAGGAAACATAAGCAAGGGTGCATTTAAACTGCTGTCAACACCAGCTCTGATCTTTCATGCTGACATTCACTACCCTCACAATCCAAGACTGAAGGAACGACTGAGGAGAGACAGGTCTCACACAGAGCACTGAGGAAACAACAGCTAAAAAAAAATAGGGGAAAAAAATTATACCTCAAATAAAAAAGGAGAAAGAAAGATGATTTCATCAAAAACCAGATTTTTATTAATCCTGACTGTACTTGCAAAATCTCCAAAGGACTGCAGACTAGTGTACTACTTATGTAATTCCTGCCAATCGCCTCTTTGAGCCAGAAACACCAGACAGAAAGCAGTCTTACAAAAGAAAAAATTAAAAGGGGGGAAAATTCAACTTATTAGCTTTAGATTCAATAAGATACTGGACTTAATGAGAATTCAGGGAAAGGAGATAAGAATCGAGAAGAAGTAAAAAGAAAAAAGGGAAAAAGCCCAGCATTTGTTTTGAAGACTGTTTATTTAAAATTGCTGCTGACCATAAAATGAACAAAAGTAACAGGAAATAAAATATTGCTGTATCTAAGTGCTGTGTTTCCATGATAATATAGAACAGCATCATATGCTGCAATAAAATGTTTTAGCTGATCATTTCTTGTCTTTTTGGCACTCTGCTGACACACTTTTTAAAGTGTTAATTAAAAAAAGAATCAAATCAACACTACAAATTGGATAGATTTGTGCCCTACAAACAGTCTCTTCTGACCAGTAATTTGTGGAGCTGGGGCTCAGCCAACTTCCAATGAATCTGTGGAGAGTTTCCAGCAAACTGTCATCGCAGCAGGATGCAGTTCTTGATAGGGTGATCATACATGGCAAGTGAAGTGATGCTGAACTGTCACTAAACAAGTCTATTTTATTGTGCCTGAACTTTCCTTTAAGTCTCACCCAAAAATGCAAATTGACAGTTTATATCCAGATATATATATACCATAATGCACCTAAAACCGCATGGTATTTACATGGAAATAAAATTTTTGGATGATTGTCATGTTGTGAGAGAACAACAAAGAACACTGGACCAGCCACAGCTCTAGAACACAAACACTTTTTTATATTTATAAATCAAACAGGCCATGACAAGAGACCTGAACATGTAGTACTTTCCCCTTAGGGGTTCTGACTTCTTTTCTTTCTGTTTGAAATAAGGAATTTTAGATTTCATATACATGAGAGCATTTTAAAGTGTGCCTAGTGCGGCACTCATCATGTATTCATCTATTGCTAATATTTTTAGAAGACTATTTCCAAGATACAGGTAAATAAGCACAAATAGAAAGCTAATCTGCATGTAGAATACTAATAATAATTTGGAAATTCAGTGTAGCTGTATTGACTTTTGACAGGTTTCTGTTTTCTGAACATGGACCCAGTGAAGGCTGGCAAATACAGAATAAGAATCAGCAGTCTAAGCCTGCCTTGATGTACCTTCTCTCCAATATTCAAGCCTTCAAAATATCACAGGTAATGTCAGGAAACTGATAGTGAAGTGTTTGCTTACTCATAGAGAAAATGCAAAATTCCTTCCATGTTACTGCCTTAGAAATCAGAATATTCTCTCTCACTCTGCAATTTCTTCCTTAGATAAGTAAGATTGGGGGAGGGGAGAATGAAAGAAATCGTTGCCTTCTGCACAATAATTCATAACAGCACTATTTTATATTCTTCTGTCTTTCCATCCTGCCCCCTACCACTTAAATGGGTGCAGACTGCAAATTGTCTGAAATGTCTTCTAAAAGAGATAATTTAGCTTAAATCGCTGTTTTCTGAACTCAGAAGAAGAAAAAGAGCAAACAATACATTTTTAAGACTGTCACCCTATGGAAGAAGCATATTTAAGAGGACTGACTTTCAGAGCGAAAGCTTAGTATTTCCTGAAGTTTAGGAAGACCAACTTGAAAACTAAGCAGTGAAGAGAAGCATCTCAAGACTAGCAGCCACTGGAAAAGCTGATGGAATGTGTTCAGATATCTGTTGATGAGACTGAGAAGGGACAGGTATAAAGCAATATTGCATATTTTCCATTCTGAATCACTTTGCCAAATTAACTGCCAGGCTGAATCTTTCTGCTACCTCTGCCCTTCAAGCAAAGTATTTATCCCAGTTAAGGCTTTAACCAAAATGATTCAGATGTTTCCAAGAGGAAGCTGAAGAATGTTACTCTTTTCTCCTGTTGAAAAGCTCGTCCCTTCAGAGTTACAGAACAGGATCTTGACCTTGGCCACAGATAGTCATCTTCCAGAAGGGTAAGGCCCAGGACATGTGCATGATAAAGGCAGCTGAAGGAACACAATCAGCCAAGCCAGGAGGACCAAGAGCCCTCCAAGGGATTTAAACAAAACATGCAGTCCCTTGGATGCCTTGGAGTAATCACTTTGCAGTGAGATTTCAGTGGGCAGGTAGGGAGATCAGATTCAGGTTCTAGCTTTAGATGGGGTTCAACCCTTCTCAGTAACTATCACACAGCTTCATCAGGTTATTTAAGCAGGCACAGTTTAAGAAAAAGTGAGAAGGAAGCTAAGAGGAGAGATCTGAATTAGATGCAGGCTTCTTAATTAACTAGCTCAATATAATTGTAAGCTTTTTTTATGAAAAAGTAAGAGAAATGTCTTCCAAAAGAAGCGGCCAAACTGGGATTAAAAGACAGAATGTATATTAAAACATCAAGTTTTCTAACTGAGGAGTTGGCAGGACTCACATGCCCAGGGAAATCAATCTCTCATCACACATGACACATGCAGAGTATGATGCTTTGGAGACTTATCACAACACACACAATGGCAGAAGCAACCCAAAAGAAATTTATTTCTAGGGGAACCAAGAAAAAAACTGGCAAGAAGACACACTGTTTTAATGATGCCAAGTCAATATTACACTCAAAATAGCTTTTTCTCATTTCCAAACAGTTGAAGCAACAAAAATAAATAACGTCACTCTCAAAGACGCAAACAAAAACACAAAACATGTTAATCACAAAAATGTGGGATCAGTGTCTCACTCCACTGAACAGGGCTTTCTTGTGTTCAGAGGAGGACAATATAACTGGCAAATTGCTACACATCTCTTTCCCTTTTAACCAGCCAGCAACTCAGCTTACTGTTCTGGAGCAAATAAATTCACAAAGAATACAGAACTTCTTAGTGGGGAAGAAGATAGAAATGTTGGTCAGCTTCTTTGGAGAGGACGCCAAATATGTGTGAGTCACAAATAAAGACAGTGGCCCACTGAGAGCACTTACAGTTTCAATACAGAAGAGTTGTTTCATCAACCCTTAAAAGCCACCCCAGCTCGATAGATGAGATTAGATTTTGAATTGCATCTTGTAAAGCCTCTAATCTGGCATTTCAGTGGGTGAACAAGAAGTGGATCACTCTTTGTGTGTGTACTGGGCAAAAGGCCTTATCCACCTGAACAGACTGACCTGGAGATCATCTGGAGAGAGAGACAGAGAACAGCAAAAATACCAGTACAAGATGCAAACAAGATGCAGCCAGATAAGCCCAGGAAGATCCAGAGTGATGGAAAAGACCAAACCTAAAAGTGAGAGATGTGTTCTGTAAAGGGCTCATAGCTTAGTCCACAGCCATGCCTCTCCCTGAAAAGCGGAGTGACTGGAAGCAGCTACTCAGGACACTTAAAACCCCCATAGTTCTCCATTTCCTTCTGCAGTCAAGTGCCTCTGAAAAGTAAACCATGTACTCGGGTTATGCTGAAAGTCACAGGTCATGGCAGTGGGCTGTGACAGCAGCTGTGACGTTTGGGGTCAACACAAGCCCTGGGGCCAGATCCTACAGAGGATAAAGAGTCTCATGTAAGAAATGAGAGATGGAGAAAATGTGTCTGGAAACAATCTTCAGGAGCACTCTAGGGCCCAAAATTCACAACCCCCCAGCACCAACCACAGGAAGAATTAAAAAAAAACTCACCTAGATATAAATGGAGAGATAATAGCTGGCTCAGAAGAGCACGTCTCTTATCAAATATGAATTATAAATCAAACACAGCAGGCTAGAGGAGGAATCATTAATTTTTCAGTTCTCAAACCACAGATATCATGTTTAGCTCTATCCCACTAGTCTTTGTAATACAATGCAAGAAAAATTACTTCCAAAAGTAACTAGTCATTGTGGAATCACATACAAATAAAAGTTTAAAGACTACAATGTTACCATTAAACTTTTAAAGAGAGACAACAAAGCTTTAGTACACATCTCTCTCTATTCATACATTCATGCAGTGTTCAATAAACAAAACAGTCTTGCTGCATGACAGATAGCCAAAAATTACATTAGATGGAGTAGAAACTGTAGAATTAAGCAAATCGTCAGAAGTGTTCTCTGAAAGAATCATCTCCCTTGAGTCCTGGGCTGACAGGGCTTCAGCCTGGAGTTGGCACATCTGTGCAAAATTTGCTAAGCATCAGCACTCCAGTTGTACAGTGTCTCTCTGCCTCAGTTTAAGAAGTAAACAGGGATTACAGCACTGATGACCTTATTCACAAGTTACATTACTGGAGACCAGAAGGGATGGGGACTTCCTAAGGAGGAGCATGGCTTTGCCCCAGCAAAGTCTTCTCAACTGAAGCAGTAGAGAAGGAAAGCAGATGTTTTCCAACCTATTTATTATCATCAGCAGGCCAAATTCAATGCTACATGTAAGACCTTGTATCTTATTATCATTGCAATCTGTTTCTCAAATGCCATATTCTAAAAATACACAAAAATGTCACAACCAGTACTATTTCATTTCAAGGAACCAACCCTTCTAATATTATGAAAAACCTGTATCTATCTGCCTGTCCTCCTCCAATGTCTGCCAGATTGTTGAGAGCACTGCTCATACAGACTGGCTTTGGTGGTGCTTGTGTTTTATTTCTGATACATAACTATCTGGACATGGATTAGAAGTTTTGCTTCACAACTTAAAAAAAATACCACATTGCTTCAATGGCCACACCAAGAAAGTCCTGCCATTTTAATGCTGCATTGTCTTTGCACTGAAATTTCTGTAACAGATACTAATTTCCTTAGTTGCTGCAGATGCTACAACTTCCATACATGATTTAGAAGTCATCAGATTCTCATCTCCTTCTGTTTGTACTGTGTATCAGAAAGCAGCCATTGTATATACCTCTTTCTACAGAATTCTCAAAACGTAGTAATTTTTAAAAATCTAGTGCCTGTTGACACTCTTATTGTTTTTGCCACAAAGACTCAATAGCCATTTACACAAGATACATTATGTGCAAAGGGAGCTTCAAAGAGAAAAGAAAGATGTGAGACTTATGCACCGCACAACAGAGAAATGAGACAATAATTTTTAAAAAAACCCAAAATGAAACAAGAACCTAGAGACCTAGAGTTACTGCTCAAAGTCACAGATCTGAGCACATGAAGATGACCATACAGACTTCCTTAAGACCCTCCTCCAACATAGTGCCTTGAAATGTTGGAGCCTAGTTAACAGTGTGGCTCCTGAGCCCAGTGCCAGACACAAAGCCCATGGAGGGAGAGCTGCCCACCTAAGGAACTCATGGCTCCCACTGCTTGGAGCCAGGAAACTGCATCATCAAGTGCTGGAGCTTGGTAAAACACAGGAGGTGGCTCAGCAAGCTGCTGACAGCAGACAAGGGTTAACCACAACATTATTAGATCATAACACATCTGGAGAGTCTTATTGCTGGGGCAAACATCAATCTTCAGAGAAAGCTAAACATGCAAAATGAGATTTCACTCGTGAGGAAGAACTGAAAGGGAGGTTATACACAATGAAAATAATCCTAAATAACTGTTGAAACTGAACTGGCTGAAAAGGGGGAGAGGAAGTGTTTTTCCGTAAGAAAATTCCTGCCTCTCCTAGCCGACTGGGATCAGAGTAAGTGGAGGAGTTTTACACTGAACTTTTCCATTTTGAAGCATTTCTGTGATTGACCCAAGTCTAAATTAAAATGATGCTTGTTTATAGAAATGTCCAAGCTTTCCGTATTCCCAGAACTGTACTTAAATTGTGTTGGTATAGATATTACATTACATTATTTCCCTGAAGACATGAATAAGAGCTAATGTAAATGCCAATTTAGTTTTAAGAATCCTGGGAGAATAACGCTTTGTCTGGCTTTATTTATGAAGGCCCTTATATATTTAAGCAGTCTCAAGTTTGCTTTGTTGGGCTCCAACTTAAAAGGTAATTTGTTCATTTAAGAATATTCTGTGATTAGTTTAGTCTGAGTGTGTACTAAGATTTTCTGGAGAGTAGTCATTTCATGGTGCACACATACACTGGAAACAGCTGCTTTGGTGTTTAGATTTCAAATTCAAGAGATATTTTTCCTCCACCTGGCACCCCTGTGTTTTGTTGCTGGATGATCTGAACGCACAGCAGCAGAGTACAGGTATTTCATACAGATTTCATTTTTGAAGTGCACAAATTCCGTGTTTACACTTTCACAGAGGACCATGGTAACCACTGCAATATCTAAATATGGGTTACTGTACAGTTTATTCTATAATATCCATCCTGAGAAAAACAAAGAATCAAGTACCCACTTACAATACATTTAGAGCACAGAATTTTAGACACTTTGGACAGCTTTGAAGTAAGTCTAGCTAAATTGCATTAGTAATTGCAAAAAAAAAAAAAAGCCAACCAGTGACTAATTAAATCCTCTTTCTGGATACAGATTACTGGCTGAAGATTTATGTAGTAGACACTACACTGTGGTGTACTCATTGGGATTAATTTTTCCAATCACCAAGCAAGGATCCCTAAAATTGCCTCTCCATGGTAAAATAAGATCAAGGCTGAGAAGGCTTTTCCAATCTATGGTATTCTGTGCAAAAGAACAATACAGAATTTCCATTAAAAACTGCAGCATTTCTGTCTCAACCCCCATGTCTCTTCCTCTCAATTTCATTAGCTGCTCCCAATGACAAATGATCAACTCATAGTAGCTCTGTAACAGTGCAGCCAAATTGAACATTACTCTTGGATTATAGAGAAGTAAGTGTTGTATCTACTGGCTTGAATCAAAGGACAGTAAATCAGCATTCCACTTCTGCCCTGATTACACAAGTGTAGCTCATGTAGCTTTTACAATACTTCTCCCCCACTCCAGTGTGCATCTCCTTCATGCTCTAAATTGGCTTTCACCACTTTACTGCTGTATTTCAGACATCTTCCAATGCAAACTGAACAAAGCTCATGGTTTCCCCTTGTTGGCCTTGAAAAGTTTCCTTGTAGTTTATGTGAGCACAGGAAACCTGTTCCAGGTCATCCCTCACACGTACCCCACACCACAGGGTCCTACAGCTGATTTCAGCTGAGAAGCACGTAGTAGCAGAATAAGCTGTTTACACAATAATGTTATGTGTATAATTAGCAACTATCCCAGGTAATGAACCTCAAAAATCTGATCTCCAAGGTCACCACATGTGTTTATCTCTCAGTTTAAGTTTGATGTTTTTGGCAACATTCTTTAGTTGACATTACTAACAAACCAATTGAGCTTGAACAATCTTGTAGAGATTGTTTCTATTTATAAAGGGGTACACATGTGGCCTACTTGGACAAACAAGGACAGTATTTAAATTAGCATCTTGAAAAGGACTTTAGACAAAAAAAGAAAAATTGCTCATATATTCTTCTACAAAGGGTGAGAGGCCCATCCTGATCTAATTGAACCTCTCACTCCTATTTCCATATGACCTTAATCTCTGCTTATTAAGAAGAATAGCAAGGAGGTTGCTACTGGCATAAATCACACACTGACTATAGCTGTAGCCCATGTACAGCAATAACTTCCATTCCAGTAGCTCTTCTGCCTCTTTCAAAGAGGATCTACACTTTAGGAGCACTTAAATGCCACTGCAGTGGTTGCAGAAAGCTCTGCATCCACAGCTGAACATGTGTAGCCATTTACTGCCCTCAACAAACAGGATTTTTCTTTTTACTTTCTCAAACTACGGGAAGAAAAAAATATTCCCACTGATAATAAATATCTGGTTTTTCCCTAAAGAAATGAATTTTAATAGCTTGCAGAAATGTCCTGTATTGCCAACTTTGCTGTTGGAAGCAAAGATCATAAAATCAACTACCTAGAAGCAGTAAAACTGAGGCTTCTTAAAGCATTAAAAAAAAACCCAACAAAACTTTTCACACTTCAGTTAAATATATTTTCCTGTTGAGACTTATCTAGAGTGACAAGTTTGTCTAGATTCTATTTCCAAAAATTTTATAGCAAGTTAAAATTGCCACAGCTTAAAAGGACATTTTTTGTCATAACAAAAGTAAATATTTTTCAGAAGCTTACAGACATGATAACTGAGATGACTCAGGTCAACCAGGCAAGCATTACCTCTTGGATTGCAGGTAGAGTGGACAGGAAAAACCTGCCATTAAAGATGCATTTAACATGGAAAATGTTAAGGTATCTCAGGAGGCCAAACTGCACTGCTTGAAATCAGTATGTGACTGTCAAGTCAGTTTTAAAATTCACCTGATTAAACCGAGGCACACTTTTTTGCACACTCTTTTCCCCCTGTAGAGTGTCCCCTGCATGGCTGTCAGTGAAGCTGCTCCCTACCAGTTCCAGCAATTTCTTGGTTTGGCATATAGAAAGCAAAAAATAAAAGAAAAATCTGAAAACATTAATATTCCAAGTAGTGAAGAATGGTGTGGAAAGAATGTTCAAGGAGGGGGGAAATGGTTCTTTTTCATAATTAGCATTACCACTACCAAATGGACCCCTAGCACAGCTAGAAACAGACAAGGTAGAGGAGCTTTGTGCTCCAAAGTTTTCAGAATGCCAAGGATCTTTGATAAGACCATCTGGTTAGGATGGATGGGAAGTGGATTTGTGGCGTGGCAGTGTTTCCATGTGCTCCCAATATACACCACAGCACACCTGGAACTTCTGGCACCACACAGCACAAGCAACTGCCACCAGAGCTCTCCCAAATCCACAAACAGCCTTCAGCAAGTTATTAGGCAGAAGCCAAACCGTAAGAAGGATGCAAGACCACACTCTAAGGCAGAATTCATGCTGTCCAGCAGCATATCAAGATAAAACAATCTGAGCTACAATTTTATCTTTCTTTTCTTTATTGTGCATCTACTTCTCAGCATTCAGTCCTATTTCCTCTAGGCTGGTATAAAACACACCTGTGTTACAGACGAAGCTCCATAACATCTGCAATATACATTTTAAATCACATTTTATCGTTTGATCTAACTGAAAGCAGAACACTAAACTGGCAGAAGTGAACGTCTGCACATCTGGAACTAAATACTTTAGACAAGAAAAACATCTTTGGATACAAATCAAATTCACTAAAGCAAAAATGATCTTCTATCAGCTTGGCCTTTGCTAGTGACTAAACAAACCCAAGTGAAAACAGCAGACTGTATTTTTCCTTTTTGTTCTGTGAACATATGCAAGTCAAAGGAGGAAAAGATCTAACAGATAGTTCAAGAACTCTAGATACACATATCAGTATATTTTCATTAACTACTATCCAGGATGGTTATGAGAGTTTTAAACTTTAAAGTGTCATTACCTGTTTATTTTAAGGCTGTTCCAGTGTAGGATAAGAAAACTGCAGGAAAGGGGTAGTGCTTATGATTTAAGGGATGAATGTATCATAAATGCATCTGGATTCAAAGACGTCTAACTACAGAAATGCTGAGTCTTTCTAGTTCATGAAATGCAGTAACATGATATACAAATGTGGGGGGAGCACCAATTTTTCTTTAAATATTCATTAACTGAAGCCAAGCTTTCCTCCCTGTTAAAGTAAATCCAGGAGCCCTGCTATTGAGCACAGTCTACCAGCCATTCTTCCTCCTTCTGCCATGTGAACAGCACAGGTTTAGGCTATTTCTCTATTTTCTTTCCTTCCCTACTGTGACTTCAACTTCAGTTGCTCTTCTACACCAATTTATCACTCCTCAATTGTTTCCTGAAGGTTATTGGTATTAGACTCCCTGTGCCACAGACTGCATTAGAGTGCCAACTGCAGATGTCTGTGGTGTATATCTATGATTATCTCCCATTATGACTCTCAAGAACAAAGTTGTTCGCATTTTCAGTAGTGACTGAATGAGTTTTCACCTTATTTGTGCTCTCACTTCACCCAGAAAATTACCCATTTTATTATCCCATTTAAAGAAATAATATACAGCATGTTACTGCCATTATATCAAAGAAGCAGTGGCAACTAGACCTCTGATATGAATTACATGTTTCTATTGTATTTCAAAGATACTCAAGAGGCTGCATGCTACAGAAAATAGTCCGAAAATGGGCATTTTATCAGAAACTTCAGACCTACAATATTCAGAGAGAGAATGATGAGCTTTTTTCTCCTTACTAAAATGAGCCACAGTTTCCCCTTAAAACCATACGCTTTCAGCTGGCTGTGTAATCTCCAGACACAGGCATTGCAGCTGCTGAACTAACTCAGAAGTTCTCAGCACCAACACCTGCAGTAAATAGCCAGTTTAAGCAGGTGAAGAGAACTATTAGCTACAGAATAATTTTAGAATAATTTAGGTTGGAAAAGTCCTTTTAGATCACTGATTCCAACAGGTTTTCTGCTTGCTGACAATTAAGCTGCATTCTCTGGTAACACTGAAGTTGTACAACCTAAAATAAGGTGGCAAGTTCTTGAAACTCAGGGTCTTTTAACAATTAAGTTTACATCACATCACTTGGTATTCCAAGGCATAAGAGTCCAGACTTCACTGAAATAGGTTAAATCGTTACCTCTATCAAAAAGTCTTACAAAAAATATGAAGAAAAAATATTTTAGTAGAAATAAGTTCAGGTTTGCTAGAACTAAATCACTGGATTTGTCCTATGTTAAGAAGAATTAGTTCTTCCTTCATTACACCGTTAGATTTGCTCATACAAGTAAATTAACTTAATCATTCTATACAGTATTATTGATATGTTCCTTCATAATGCATAGAGTTAATACTTGTTTACACTCCCACTGTGACAAATTAGACCACCTACTCAGACACTGTATTTATTACTGAAGGAACACACATGGAGTGCTAAAAGCCTGCGATAATACAACTGCAATATTTAGTTGCCTTTCCAGGCAATAATCATGATAGCTACATAGTTTAGTTCCCCCTCATAAAACTAGAAGAAATACAGCAGTGATACAGTGAATACTAAATGCTTATCAGAGGAAAAAGAATAAAGGAGAATCTAAAATTCAATTTTCCTGAAGTATAACAGTACCACTGATCAGCACCATGATGAGCTAATAACAGACACGGTGTATTTCAAACATTCTTTATGTGCTGCTTTCTAGCAAAGGTGTTTGGAAAAAAAGCTAAAAATAAAGACCACATTGCTGAAAAGCTAACCCTGGCCTTCAAGTTCAAAGAGCTTTTCATCCAGCAGAAGACACTCATAACCTGTGGCATGAGACCACAAACGTGTCTAGGGAAAAAGCCAAGTCAGAGGCTCTGTTTTCATACATGTTACTCAGAAATTTTTCCAGTGCCCTAAAAAGCTTTTTTTTTTCTATTCAGTAAGTGGTTTAAAAATAGTTATTATTCAGTTTTTCCACATATATTAGCCTGTATTATTCAATTCCACTGCACTGAAGTTGCTCTAACCCCTGACATCACACTGAGGTGATCTGCACCCAAAATTTGATAGGAGTCCCATCCATCATCAGGTTCATGTATTTATAACACAGGTTACTTCATTACCAGACACAGCAGCCTTAGAGCTTAATGACACAAATAAGGAATTAATAAACACACATGTAAATCTTCATCTGATTAAGTTCTTGTGCTATGACAAGCAAGTATGGATTTTATCAAAAGTGCTGCTAAAATTGCTACAACAATTTTAGGCCGGTGGTTCAACTGCTGCATATCAGAGCTCTATCCAATATCAAACAAGTTGTACAAATCAACACACCTGAAAATTCAGGTCTATCTCAGCGTTTAATAACTTATCACAACAAAAAGATCTTCAGAAGACAAAACATTGCCTGTGGAAAAAGATAAAAAATGCTCACGAAAGGGGAAACAACCCACCACTACACAAAAGAAACTAATCTCATGCATATGGCTTGCTTTGATTCCACAACAAAGACAGATTTTACTAAAACTGCTCAGCATGAAAAACAACACCAAACCCATACAAATTCATCTGAGTATTTTTGAATGGACAGGACTTCAGATTCTGCCTGACAACAGTTGCTCAATTATGTGTTACTTTTATTACACACAAGACTTGGCAGCAGCAGAGAACGTATGTCTGGGACAATCCTCAAAAAATTTACTAACACTTCAAGATACACAGGCCAAGTTACAATATGGAGAGATCCTTAAAATACTTCATTTTGCATGTAATTATTCACTGA